GGTGAAATTTGTTAAGCTTGGAATAGTTTTGAAATTCTAAAATTGTAAAATAAAAAAATTTGATGCAGATTTAAAAGTTGTACTTTAAAAGAAAAATGTATCCATTAGCTATTAAGCATCATTTGCCTTCTGTCAACATAAAATCATTATCTGATAGGTTGTCGGGTTTTTGTTTTCGAAAGTTCAATAAAACACTATTTTTTTTTTAAATATACATGGATGGGCATAGAATGAAGACTAGATAACCTAGATAACACACACAAAAATAAGATTTTTTAAGTTATGTATTTTAAAGATCCAAAAGTAAAGTCTGTTGTCAAGGAATTTTGATTAAGAATTAAGGGGAAGTAAGTGAACGATGTACAAATTTCTATTTTTAAGTATATTTCATGAATAAAAATAAAATATGCCTAAATTTTTATGAAAATGAGTGAAAAATGAGTAAACGAAAAAAAACAATACCAGTAAGAAATACTCTTTTAGTTAGATATTTGCAATATCAGCACGAAGCTTTAAATGTTTGTGTTTCAAACATACCTTCTCTTTAGTAATGACTCGTAACAAAGGTATTTCACAGCACCCATTTATATAATTTTTATAATGTAAATTCTCAATTTTATTATATTAACATGTAGCCTTAATATATATATAAAAAATAGAATCTAAAGCCAGATATATCAAACGTTTTTTGTTATTTTATACGTTTTCAGGACAACACAATCAACTCAAACACGCCTTGAACGTAAAATGTGTACTCGACTGTTTTTACGATAAGATAATTGCCATTTTTTATGTATACATATTTATGACAATAACTGTTGTATGCACATGATTCAATGCACAGTTTTAAAGTTCTGCTAAACCAAAAACTAAAATGTGAACTTAAGTTTTGCGAAATTTGTTTGATGAGTACCGATTGAGATTTTAATCTAATAGAACATGGTTTTTCTCTTAGTTGAAAATGCGACTTTGAACTAGCTTTCAGTAGCTGCGAGTACTTCTGGTTCAATAATGTGTGTCTTTGTATTATTATTTTATTTGCTAAGTTGTCTGCTCATTCGCATATTCCTCATTTCCATTCTCAGTTTTAAGTGTTGTGATGTTACACAAATGTACCAATAAAGGAGAAAAGGAGGAGGGGTTTAATGGGTTGAGGTGGGGAGGGATAAGGAGCGCAAACAAACATGGTAAGCCCTGTCACGAGTGCCCAAAACCAGTGGTTGTCGATGGTTGCAATCTGTCATATTTTTTTTATTTTTTTCAAAATTGTATTTTAAATCAGTCTTCATTTTCTAATCGTTTACATTTCTATAGCTACCATTCGCTATGGTTTTTGCTCGTTGTTGAAGGTCATACTTTGACTTGTAATTCTTCACATCTTTGTTCCATTCTAGTCAGTTTTTATCAGTCATGTATGATAAACAAGTCTGGGTCGTTTTTTTTATCTAGTCGAAATGTATTGGAGACAGCGTATATATTAAGGAAGAAATTAGAGGCACCAGTAGTTAGATCATCTAACCTCGTATATCTAATTGAAATAAACCAGTCAAACGTTTTTGTCGTTATAAATGTCGCTTTACCTCAAGCACCTTTTAATTGTTAGTTAGCATATTATGTAGAGAATCATCAATTTGAGGGCATTTAATATCTTAAGTAGAACTATTTTAATTATATATATTTTCATCTGATATTGGACGGAAGATGTTGCCCTTTTATGTAATATAAGTTACTATTTTTTGAAAACGCTTATTAAACAGCCATATGGATGCACAAAAGTAAAGATAGGAATCACAAATCCGATTGAATACAATTATCAGCCCAATTTTATTGATTCTGTTACGTTTGTGTTAAAAAGAACCAACTTTTTACCAAAAATCACCAGCACCGTATCAGGACCCACCAGCACAATGACAGGACCCACCAGCACAGAATCAGGACATGTCTAAACTGAGAAAATGCACAATTTTAATAATTTGCGCAGGTTTTTCACAAAATAATTTTGTCGTGTGGATTTGTGTATAGAAATCGGACTCCAGGAGCATATTTGTTTAATTTTTTCACTTCTAGATTTTAAAAAATATAGCACTTTTGTGTTACGCTTACTGAAACAGTTTAGAGGGTCGAATTTTACATTGTTTGCCAGTGAACCCATAAGAAACAACATTAAAACATCTCGACTGTTTCCTTCCATTTTTATGGGAGAAAACGTCAAAAATCATAATTTTCGTCTCTGTTTACATATTTTCAATGATCACCAGCACCAGTCAGGACCAAATCACCAGCACAGAACGTTTTCTCGCAGGACAACCTTACCCACTGTGCCAATGCACGTCTTAAAATTTGGAGTCGACGTTAACTGTTCGCTTCATGTTGTATAAAACACACCACAAAGGTAAACTACTATACTTCGCCGGGATACTTTTCAGTGCAACTACATTTTGAGAAAGTCCACACTTAAAGGGGCACTAGCTACGAGATATAAAAAAAAATAAAATATGATTTTTTTTGTTCAATCATTAATGAAAGTGGAATAGTGAAATAATTATTCGCTATTAGCAGCCAGTATTGTCTAATTTTGTCAAAATAAGCAAATAAATATTGATGATGAATTATTCACTTGCAAGTGAATAATTCGACCTCATTGAATCCGTATTCATGTGAACTTCAATTTAACCCCTTAGATAGAGTTGGATAACGCATGAATTGTGTGCATGTTTGATTATTTAAAGGAAAAGAATGTCAACATTGAAAGTAGACAAAGGTAATTTATTTAATTGACTGATTCGAGCCTCAAAAAAAAAATCATTCTTGTACAGGTAAAAATAATGATTAACATATATTTTTAATCTATAAATGAAATTAAATAGACCTAGAAGAATCCAAATGCACGAGTTGCGCTATCTATTTATATCTTTATTTATGTTTATCTCCCTTATATGGGCATCGGTGGTTTTCGGGAGGTCAACTCGACAGTTAATTAGATGGCGTCTAGACTAAAATACACACAAAACGAAGCTACATATTATCGACCTATGCCCTGTAAATTGTTTATTTTAGATTTTTTATAATTTGGATAAATGTTTTACATTGTTATATGACACATATGAGAATTTGAGTCAAATCGGTGAACATGAATTTGACAGCTAGTGCCCCTTTAAATCTTGTATCGGTATTGGTATTTAACATCAGCGCAGTATTTAAACCCCTTTCCTAACACGTCTATTTAGAAGTATGGGTTATGGACAAAGACATATGCTTGAATTAGTCAGTTTACGACACTTTCGTATTCTTTAAAAGCCTGTATCAACTAAACATGTATGTTGTATTTAGTCTTATCATACGACGTTACAAATCGAATTTGAGTTTCGTTCTGGTTGAAAGAAATTTGGCGGAAGCTGTGAAAAAAAATGCTTTAAAGTATAGTTTTGCACTTTTTCTGTAATGTCTGAACAATTGATTAAACATGTTTTGTATTCAGCTGTCTTATCATTAGAAGTTACCTTTCAATCCGGTTGGGTGATTTTTGCAGGATTTGTGGCCCTAGGCCTAACTGGATAAGAAATTCTCAGCAAGATCAGTAAACACTTATCAAGTAAAACCAGCTTTCAGTAACTGAGAGAACTCTCAGATCTATACTTTATTTCTTTTAAATTTTTACAAAGTGTTTTTGTTTTGTTTTGTTCTTTTTTTTAAGGGTTCAGTCCTTTTCAACTGATTTTTTTAGTTTGTTCTCATGTTGTTCTCTTAGAACCCGTTCACACTAGGACATTTAGATCGATTTAAACTAGATCGGTTCACTTTAGATCGATTTAAGGGCTAATGTGAACGCTTTGAATCGATCTTTAATCGGTCTAAACTAAAGAGGTAGTTTAGTTTGAATCGATCTAAAGTGAACCGATCTAACTTTAAATGTGAACGCAAAGATCGGTTTAAACTAGTACGATTGAAACGAAAATAGTTTATGCGCATGTTTAGCGGCAAAACTACACGTGTAATAACATATAACATTCCTGTATATATCATTGGTTCGTTGTTTAATACATATTTCTCTGTCAACAGAAATTTGCGTAAACAAACGAGAAAAAAATAAATTTGCGAAATATGTGTCTTCTTTTCTTCTGTTGATTTTTTCTTTTCAGAAACCGCAGCAATTCTTCATGTTGTAAATTCTTTGCTACAGTTTTTAGTTTCAAAATTAATGAAAACTCCAAGAACACCAGTATGAAAATTTGAACTTGAGATTCAAGAGAAACAATAACTTCGTCAATTTTTTGTTAATTTCTGTGTCATTTGGTCTCTTGTGGAGAGTTGTCTCATTTGCAATCATACCACATCTTCTTATTTTTATTTTAGCCCCGTCAAATTTTGTATGTGCGTGTTCCAAGTCAGGAGTTAGTGGTTGTCGTTTGCTGCTGTATATAATATTTGTTTTCCGTTTATTGTTTTGTACACAAATTAGGCCGTTAGATTCCTCGTTCGAATTGTTTTACATTTGTCATTTCGGGCCCTTTTATAGCTTACTATGCGTTTTGGGTTTAGCCCATTGTTGAACGGTGATATATAGTTGTTAAATTCTACGTCTTCTGGTCTCTGGTGGAGAGTTGTCTAAATGGCAATCATACCACGTCTTCTTATTTTCTTACTAAGCAAATGTAAGTGTTACAACCGGTAGGGGGCATTATATTGAATATCAATACCAGCAGATATTTAATATAAATCGGAGGTGTACTCTTCTCCCTAAAATATTTTACTGTATCTCTCTCTCTCTCTCTCTCTCTCTCTCTCTCTCTCTCTCTCTCTCTCTCTTGTATATTATGAATTTTAAATGACGTTACATTTTCGCACGTAAACTGATCTAACATTTATATCTCGAACATGTATATACAAAGTTCAAAAGGTATGTTGCCAGCATCTGCAACAGATAAGTTTTACAGGTGTTGCATTGTACTAGATATCAAACTATGATATCATCAGATAGAAACTTCAAGAATACTATTTACAAAAGCTTCAAAAATATAGATAGAAGGCCAATGAAATGTTACACAGTTGTTATGCATAATATGTACATGATGTAGATGTGTATATACTTTGGTGAAATTGGGCTTATTAAATTGGGAAAACAGGTTAGTCTTATAATAGGATTTTAACAAAAACTGATATGTAGGTGTATAAAATTATTTCAAACTGATTGACAAATTAAAATAAAATGATAAAAACTTACTTTTTTTTTAAATCACAAATTTTGAGAAGCATCTTCTTGTGGTAAAATCACATCAAAAATTAATTATAATATACACATGATATGCATTCCAAATTTTATCTCCAGATTTAATTTTACGCTGATTCCTAAATTATCAATATACAAATCTTTATAGACACGTGCAATAATTACAAAAAATGGGAATCTTACCTGCGATTGTAAAATTTTACAACCCCTCTCCGCTTCAGCAAGTACCATTATCCGGTGTCGCTCCCATACGGTGTTAATTAAGTCTCAAAAATGACTCTCGAAACCGGAAGAGGGCCGATATGGATTTTGCACGTAATGACTGATATGAATCTCCCATTGAAATTGAATGGGGAGTCCATATTGGCCATGGTTATTTGACCCGAACAGGAATATGTCTTATGCAATCTGCATGTATTACATATGCTAAACCTTATGTTTTTGTTACAAATATGAGATAAGTGTATGTACTCCTTACCATGTCTATTTAAATACAGATTAATACATGGCCTTTTCCAGATCGGCCCGGGTATCATCCCGAGACGTTAGTCGAGTGCTGGTAAGGACCGAGGGATGATACCCGGCCGATATGGAAAAAGAAATGTATTAATCTTTTTATCATATACTACCTATGTGCGAACGCAATCAGGCTGATAACCCATAGCAGCTCGACCATGTGACGTCATATAGGGCTGATATGCGTTATCAGCCTAGGTGTAAGTGTATGGTTAGTTTACTTCCACTCGTTAGACATATGCAAAAACTGGCATTTAATGCTAAGTATATGATAAGCTTATTTAAATCATCTCCTTTGTGACAAAGGACGCATTTGAGAGTGGTACGGATACATATAGTACATATATGCATTACACGATTTAATTCATTCGTGACATTATGACTTTATTTATAGCAATGAAGGTTACATTCCTTATCCTATGCCTGAACATCCTGGTCTTTTCTAACAGCGAAAACCCTGTCACTGGCAGAGGATACAACATCCTGTTTGGTAACCCTGATGGAGTGAATCCCATATCAGGTGGGAAAGACCCCGGCATACTCCAGCGTAAAATACTGAACTCTAATATCTACACGACAGATTCACACTTTAACATTACAAATTTGAGTGTCTTCAATAGCTTGGCCAATACTTCAGATACTTGTGAAAAGATCGATACGGTTGAGTGGTTTTACGGAGAAAAGTCATACCAAGAGAAACTTTTAAAATCGTTTCAAATTTCAGGTATGTTCTTAAGAGGTTTATGTTTGTATTAGTGAGCCTAAACAAAATAGAATTGACAGTAAAGGTAGTGAGATATTTACATATATTATACTGGAGTGAAATATCTCGGCTAATCCTGCAGTTTGATTGGTCCCCTTGACAGGAAATATGAACCTTGTGAAAAAAAAACGAGCATGAGAATGGCAAATAATGTTAAAATAAGGACACTGCAGTATAATATAGTTATTCTTCGGGATTTACGATAGATACGGGGTCAAAATCCCTGTCAGTACCCTATATCCCCCTCGCCTGACGGCTCAAGAGATATAAAATACACTGACACAAAAAAACTTAAAAACATCAAACATACGGTCTTCAGTAATGAACATCTTTACCAAATGTAGCAAGCTCTAAATCGCCAATAGTTAAGGACATTTATGAATTTTTATCAGTAACTTTCCTGAATGAAAATTAAACTACAGTAAAACATCACTCGAGACAACCAGTGCAGGTGCTCCTGACATTGGAATGGTAGGATTAAAACATTTTCAACTGCATGTCTCTAATCAGGAACATCGTCAGTAGTCGTATATATATCATATTTTAATGTTTTTCGTTATTTTGAATTTGTTGTGTTATTGGCAGATCTTTTATCTTATAGAATATATAAAATTATTAAAAGATGAAGCAATAATTTTTATATATAAACTTTTTTTTAAATTTTGAACGTTATCAGTAGAATATAGTCACCATCTACTTACTGGGTAATACTTAGATTGAATGAGCATATTTTGTCATTTACCTTGTGTTACAGTGCAATTATTTTAGATATTTAAAAATAACATTTTGTCCAAATAAAAAAAAACCTTATGTGGAAATATTATATAATTGTGTTTGACCAGAACGAAATGAAAAAGAGTTCTACTAATTAAAGGAATTTCAAAGACATCTGTTTGTGTAAATTAAAGCTAATTACTAAAAAATAAAAGTAAACCTTTCATAAATCCAATTTTCAGTTACGTTTTTTAGGGGAGGTGAGAAATGTATAAGATCAAGAAAAATATAGCGCCCGCTCAAATGATAATTTCCAGTTTCTACCATTTGGACAGTTAAGATTATGTATAGATATATGTAGTTAAGGTTGTTAAAGTTTTGTTTTACCTGTAACAGGTGACGGTAACTTCCAAATTCAAAGACTGGCCTTCACTTCAAGTCCACGTAAGTATTTGTTTTACTTAAGTATGTATTCCGAAAACTATAATCTGCTGACTGTATTTCTTTTCTGTTTTGAATAAGTAAAGTGTGTTTAATTAAAACAGAATTTGAAAACGAGAAATAAAATGAAACGTGCATTGACTAGAAGATTTTAATGTTTGACGTATTTAATATGATCCAGAACATGGATATTTTCACGTGGTCTATATTTGTTCTTCTTTCATTCCTTTTCTTCTAAATCGATTTGTTTTATTCTCAATTGGCATTATGCAGACAAAAGTAAAACTATTTTTGTTTTTATTCGGAATTTGTTCACCACAAGTTCTATACATTTCCCAGTCATCAGGTTGTACAGGAATTCCATGAAACTTGTTTACATGAGGGTACAAAGTCTCTCTTTAGGGATTTTACTTGGAAAAGCAAGAATCCTTCAGTCACAGACGAATTTGCAGCCGCTGTTTGCAGTCTTAGTTCTGTGTATGATGCACAAGAATATCGAAAGTTCTTAGAAACATGGGGAACAGTAAGTTTATCTCAAATGATCTCAAATAAATATTTCTTTATTTATGATATTATATACAAATAGGAGAAGTGTGTTCAAATACAAAAATATTTCACCACTTGTTTTCTGTAAGAAACATACACATTGGAAATTGCTATGATCGCATTTCTGTTTGGGTAAAAACCTCTTTTACATATAGTGATTTAGTTATGTGTGTAACACATCTAACCTATTTATTTATTATGTAATTAAGCATGTTATATTTGCTGCTGAGGCTGGAAAGAAGAAAATAAAAAGATATAAGAAGATTGATGTGGAATATTTTGATTATGTGGAAAACAAGGTATTATAAAAGAAATTAAGATATGAAATAAAGTCTCCATTAATAGTCTGTATGTATGTTTGTTTTCTAATTTTTTTTTTTATCTTGCGCATGCATTTGATTACAATAAAAGTTTTACAGATATCGAGTATTTCCAACATTAGTTAACGATTGAAGCGAATATACTGATAAGTCATTTTTAGCAAGATGACATCTCTTATGTAATAAAGAGAGCTAGGCTCAAGCTAGCAGTCACTCGCTAGCAGCCACTCCGCTAGCAGCCAGTTTTCAGATATGTCTATAAACCCAAAAGTTGCATAAGACTCAAATGTTTTTTTATACTATATATAACGCTTTTTTAATTTAACTATCGAAGACACTATGCATGAGTTTTAGTGGTGGATCCAGGATTTTTTTAAGGGAAAAGGTGGATGGGAAGGGGGGAGCTAATTGCCAAAAACGATATGTATACCTCCGATCGGAGGGATGCAAAACATTGTTGACCGATTTTATGCCGTAAAAAAGAATTATTTTTCCTTTTAAAGGGGAAGGTGGCGTACATCCACCACGCCACTGACTTTTACATTTTCATTTCTTGATCAAGAATTAAAAGACATTAAAAAAGTCTTTGTATATTTTATTAGCACACCGCACTGCATGTTGAAAGGGTGAGAAATAAATTTAAAAAATATAATTTTATAGAACACTGCAAGAGTGGAGAAATAAGGAATTTCTTTTTAAAACACAATGTTAAGCAGCATTTTTCTTTAACAATTTAACCCTAAAAAGCATGAAAATATGGATTTTTTTTAAAAATATGATTTACCTCCTTTTAGAACTTACTACTTTAGAATAATTACAATATTAAGTCTTCTTTGATGCGTAAAACATAAAATACTTGTATCATAAGGTGTCAAGCATTTATTTATTGACTATTAATGATCATGTAACAAACAGTTGTAGAAATTATATATAATTAAGCTATTTTTAGTTTCATTTTACGCCCATTTCATGAGATTCATTATGAATATTCATGAACTTCGATTAACCTATGTAAGAGCAGAATCTCCATAGTTAAAGAGATAAAACCATGGTGCTCTCCCTGCTATCACATTGACAAATATTATCAGATAAAGGGAAGGGACTACTAATTACTTTTAATTCGCTTGGGGAATTTTGGCTAGTTAGAACTTATAATAAGTAATAAATTGTATCAGCTGGCCTAGACGAAGTGAGAACTGAACATAGCCTATGTTGTCGAAAACAGGATGAAATGAATATTCTACCCAAAATAAAGAATTATTGTGTACAAAATCGAAAGTAAATTTTCGCGCGGTTTTGCCGGCCCCAAAAAATGAGCCTGCATAGAAACCGGTAAACATGAATGACTATTGTGAAGCTAACCGGCGATAACAGTCGACCGCTTACTATTCATGAGGCCTACTTGCAATAATATTCATGAGCCTGCTATAATATTCATGAGATAACCTGGGTTCGATGAAGTGTTGTAAGAAAATATCGATGATAAGGATAAAATAATGTTTGCTGATTATATTTGATATTGCTATAAATAACAATAAATTTTGAACTCAGTGGATGTCTTCGAGGTCTGCGTTTACTTAATCAATTGTAAAAAAGGAACGCTTCCGTAAACCGACAATTACAAATATTTTTTCGGAAATTATAAAAAATGTCAATTGAAAAATAAATGAATAGCCTTTTATATTTAAACATTGAGTGAACCAAAAATACAATCTACAGATGCTTCTTAGTAAAGACACATTCCATATAAAATTACAAAATGGCTCTTATTAAGTTCTCTTATATGCCGACGTGACATTTTTACTGATTTAAACAACTTTCAGAATTATACAGTACTCATATTATATACAATCGTTTTCGACCATATTTGACAGCTCAGACTAAAGATAAGACCAGGTATCCCCACCCTATGCTGACAAACTCGTACGGGTTTAGGGCATAGGTACTATGAGCCACTTTAGCGGCAACATCTGGTACCATGGCCAACGTGAATAATCTCTAGATTTGACCAGCCGGCAATAGTTAAGTTGGACAGTGTGACATCAGAATATCAGGACCCCCCTGCTGAAAAACTCGTACGGGTCTAGGCATAAATGCTATGGACCATTTTAGAGGCAATGTCTTCTTCTACCTCTTTTATCATGACCAACGTGACAAATCTCTTAGTTTGGAAAGACGGCAATAGTTAAGTCGGATTATGTGACATACTAGGATACCAGGACCCCCCACAAGCTGAAAATCCCGTACGGGTCTAGGCATAAGTCCTATAGGCCATTTTAGAGCCATGAGTCTAGGGCATAAGTGAAATGATCCATTTCAGAGACAATATCTACCTCTACCTCTGGAACCAAAGCCAACGTTGATAATCTCGTAGTTTGGCCAGCCGGCAAAAGTTAAGTCAGACTACGTGACATTGCGGTCTAGGGCATAAGCGCTATGAGGCCAACATGGAGAATCTATTAGTTTGGCCAGCCGACACTAGTAAAGTGGGACAATGAGACAAACCAATTACCCCCAACCCAATGCTTAAAACTCGTACGGGTCTTGAGTATCAGTGCTATGGGCCATTTTAGAGCCAATGTATACTTCTACCTCTGGTACATGTATCATGGTTAATGTGAATAATCTCTTAGTTTGGCCAGCCGGTAATAGTTACATTGGACTGACTATGTGACATACCAGTTCCCCCCCCCCCCCTTTTCAACCTATGCTGACAAACTCATACGGGTCAAGGGCATGAGTGCAACGAGCCATTTAAGAGGCAATATCTACCTCTACTTCTGGTTCAATGGCCAACGTTTAGAATCTCTTAGTTTGGCCAGGCGGCAAAAGTTAATGTAAAAAACCAGGTACTCCCACCCTTCACCCAATAGTGACAAGGGCAGAAGTGCTAAGGGCTATTTTAGAGGTAATATCTTCTACCTCTTGTATCATGACCAACGTGGAGAATCTCTTAGTTTGGCGAGCCGGCAATAGTTAAATCGGACTATGTTACATACCCGGTATCCCAAACTCTATGCTGACAAACTCATACGGGTGTAGGGCATAAGTGCTATAGACCATCTTAGAAGCAATATCTCCCTCTTCCTCTGGTAGTATTGGATTGAAGAGAATAAAGTATTGTATGGTACCATGGCTAACGTGAAGAATCTTTAAGTTTGGCCATACGGCAATAGTTAAGTGGGAATATGTAACATACCAAATTCCCTAAACCCCTCCCCCACCCGATGCTGACAAACTCGTACGGGTATACGGCATAAGTGGTATGAGCTATTTTAGAGGCAATATCTACCTCTTCCTTTGGTGTCATGGCTAACTTGAAGAATCTCTTAGTTTGGCCAGGCGGCAATAGTTAAGACAGACTATATGAAAAATCAGGTACCCCCACCCTTCACCCAATAGTTACAAGCTCGTATGGGTCAAGAGCATAAGTGCTTAGAGCCATTTTAGAGAAAATGTCTTCTTCTACCTCTTGCAACATGGCCAACGTTTATTATCTCTTAGTTTGGCCAGCCGGTAATAGTTAGGTCGGACTATGTGACATACCAGGTATCCCAAACCCTATGAATAATCTTTTATATTAACTAAATTGGACTATGTGACTTACCAGTGTCCCTCTTTTTACCCTATGCTGACAAACTCAAACGGGTCTAGGGCATGCGTGAAACAAGGCATTTAAGGGGCAATATCTACATCTACCTCTGGTACCATGGCAAACCTGGAGAATCTCTTAGTTTGACTAGGCGGCAATGGTTAAGTCAAACTATGTAACAAACCAGCTACAACCCCCCCCCCCCCCCTCACCCCCCCCCCCCCTTTTTAATCTTATGCTGACAAGCTCGTGTGGTTCAAGGGCAGAAGTGCTAAGGGCCATTTTAGAGGTAATATCTTCTACCTCTTGTATCATAGCCAACGTCGAGAATCTCTTAGTTTGGCGAGCCGGCAATAGTTAAATCGGACTATGTTACATACCCGGTACCCCAAACTCTATGCTGACAAACTCATACGGGTGTAGGGCATAAGTGCTATAGACCATCTTAGAAGCAATGTCTCCATTTTCCACTGGTAGTACTGGATTAAAGAGAATAAAGTATTGTTTGGTACCATGTCTAACGTGGAGAATCTATAAGTTTGGCCATACAGCAATAGTTAAGTCGGACTATTTGATATAATAACTTCACAAACTTGTACGGATCAAGGGCATGAGTGGTAAGGGCCATTTTAGAGGCAAAATCTTCTTCTACATCTTGTATCATGGCCAACGTGGAGAATCTCTTAGTTTGGTCAGCCGGCAATAGTAAAGTTGGACTATGTGACATATCAGGTACCCAAACCCTATGCTGACAAACCTGTATGGGTCTAGGGCATAAGTGTTACAGACCATCTTAGAGGCAATGTCACCTCTATCACTGGTAACCCGCCTCCCCCTTTTTCACCATATGCTTGCAAAGTGTACGGATATAGAGCATCAGTAATATGAGCCATTTTAGAGGCACTGTCTTTTTCTTCCTCTGGTATCATGGCCAACGTAGTGAATCTCTTAGTTTGGCTAGCCGGCAATAGCTTACTCTGAATATGTAACATGTAGGGTACCATGATTTACCTCCACCCCTTATTCTGACAAGCTCGTATGGGTCAAGGGCATAACTGCTAAAAGCCATTTAAAAGGCAATTTCTTCCTCTTCTACGTCTTATTTCATTGCGAACGTGGAGAATCTCTGGTCTTGGACAGCCTGCAATAGTTAAGATGAACTACGTGACATACCAGATATCCCCCCTCTTAACCCTATGCTGACAAAATCGGTCAGGTCTAGGGCATAAGTGTTCTGGAGAAAACCAGTAGAAACAGGGAACAGTCGAAAGAGAAATTCAAAGTAGTCAACCTTAGGAAAAAACCTTCGATGGGTTATTGGCCTCAAGGAAAATTAAACCCACAGTCTAGATGGATCCAGAGACATTTCAAAATACCACCCATTTCA